CTAAAATAGAGCTACCATTCTTTGAGGGGGTTAATCCTAGGGGATGGATTCAGAAATGTCTGAAATATTTTTCCATTTGTGGTGTTCCTGTTGAGCAGAGAGTAGAGGTAGCTACTATGTATTTAACAGGCAAGGCTGAAATATGGTTTGATGGGTATATTATGCAAAAACACCATGTTACATGGCATGAATTTGAGGTTGATCTCTGTCACAGATTCAGTGACAGATCTTTTTCTGATATTGTAGAGGAGTTTACTAAATTGACTCAGAAAGGGACTGTAGAGGATTATCAGGAGAAGTTTGAGGAGTTACAACCTCATATGCTCTTGCAGAACCCTACTTTGACTGAGGAATTTTTTGTGTCACTTTTTATTAGTGGACTCAGAGATGATATTAAGCATAGAGTCAAAGCTTTAGATCCTAAAAATTTGTCTGAAGCATGTAAGCAATCTAAATTCTATGAACTATCTGTGGAGTTTGAGAACAAAAGGTTGAGGCCTTCTTTTAAATCCCCACCCTACCCAAACCCCATTACTGTTTCTAAAACATCTTCACTGCCAGCAACTACAAAACCCAGAGCAACATCAACCCCTAAACAGAATCTTATTGAGTACAGAAGGCAGAACAATCTTTGTTTTAAATGTGGTGAAAAATACCTCCCAGGCCAACAATGCAAAAATAGACAGCTGAACATGATTACTGAGGAAATTGATACTTTCCTAGTAGAATTTTTGCCTACAGACTCAGATCAGTCTCCACAAACAGAAGAAGAAACCTTAGAAATCTCTATGAATGCAATTACTGGTTCTATTGGTCATACTACATTGAGAATCAAGGGCACTATACAAGGAAAATCATTAAGTATCCTAATTGATAGTGACAGTACACACAGTTTCTTGACTCCTAAATGGGCTGATGTTGGCATTCAAATTACTACCCCTTATCCTTTGGCCATCACTGTGGCTAATGGCCAACAACTATTTAGTATTGCTAGATGCAATCAAGCACAGTGGCAAATGCAGGGACGTACTTTTTTGCATGATTTTAGATTACTTAAACTGGGTGGAAGTGACATGGTTTTAGGAGTGGATTGGATGAAGTTATTTAGTCCAATATTAATGGACTTCAATAATATGACTTTAAGTTTTGATCATGAGGGAAGCAAATTTGTATTCAAGGACAGCAACCCTTAAATGAATTGCAGCAAATTTCAAGGGCTACATTACTAAAAATCAGTGCAGGGGATTATGATATTATGGGCCATATTATCCTATTGACTATGGCAGAAACTTCTTATTCTATTCCTATGGAACTCCAACATGTGTTGGAGAAATACAGTTCAGTTTTTGCTGAACCTGAAGGCCTACCTCCTCAGAGGTCTCATGATCATTCCATTCCACTTAAACCTAATACCACAGTTAATCTAAGGCCTTACAGATTTTCTCACAATCAGAAGGCTGAGGTGGAAAAACAGATAACTACAATGCTTTCTTCTTCTGTCATTCAACTTAGCAGGAGCCCTTTTGCCTCTCCCTGCCTTCTTATTAAAAAGAAGGATGGCATTTGGAGGTTTTGTGTGGATTACAGACAACTAAATAGTCTGACTATCAAGGATAAGTTTCCTATTCCTATTGTGGAAGATTTGTTGGATGAGCTACATGGGGCTGTTTACTTTTTAAAAATTGATTTGAGGTCAGACTATTGGCAGATTCGAATTAAACCAGAAGATATCTATAAGACTGCATTTAGAACACATCAAGGCCATTATGAATTTAAGGTAATGCCTTTTGGCCTTACTAATGCTCCTGCTACATTTCAGGCCCTTATGAATGAATTGTTTAATTCTTTCCTTAGAAAATTTGTTTTGGTTTTCTTTGATGATATTTTGGTGTACAACAGCAGTATGACAGACCATGTTGAACATTTACAGTTAGTTTTGGAAGTTTTGCAAAAGAACCAATTATTTGCAAAACTTTCCAAATGTTTTTTGGGAAGACTAGTGGAGTATCTAGGCCATATTATCTTTGTTGCAGGGGTGTCTACAAACCCTATAAGGTGGAAGCTATGCATACTTGGCCCAAGCCTAAATCCCTTATATTTCTTAGAGGATTTCTTGGTCTGACAGGGTACTACAGGCGATTTATAAAGAATTATGGTATTATTAGCAGACCATTGACACATATGTTAAAAAAGGATGGGTTTCAATGGAATTCTGCTGCTTATACTGCTTTTGAGGATCTTAAGAAAGCTGTGTTCTGCTCCAGTTTTAGCACTACCAGATTTTTCTAAGACTTTTTATCTAGAAACAAATGCTAGATCTGGGGTATAGGAGTTGTTCTTTCACAAGAGGAAACCTATTGCTTATTTGAGTAAAGCTTTAAGTCCTAGACACTCAGCTCTATCTATTTATGAAAGAGAATATCTTGCTATTCTATTGGCTGTTTCTAAATAGAGGCATTATTTGGAGAGTAGGCCATTTATTATTAAGACTGGTCATGAACCATTAAAATTTCTGTTGGAGTAGAAGCTAACTACCACTATTCAGAATAAAGGTTTGACAAAGTTATTGTGTTTAGACTATACTATTCAGTATAGAAAGGGGAAATCAAATGTAGTTGATGATGCTTTATCTAGAACATGGGAGGATCAAGCTCATTGTATGGCTATGGGTGACAGTTTTGGTTCCTACTTGGGTTCAAGAGATTGAAGACAACTATAAAAATGATTCTCTAGCTCAAAATTGGATTTCCATCCTAACTATTAATCTTGCTGCTGACAATAAATGGAAATATTCTAAGGATGTTCTTAGATATGATGAGAGAGTTTATATTGGAGCTAATGGAAGCCTTAGGTGAAAGTTATGCAGACTTTGCATGATTCTCCTCAGGTGGGACATTCTGGGCACATGCTACATATTATAGGATTAGGTCAAATTTTTATTGGCCAAATCTTAAAGCTATGGTTGCTACCTATGTGAGATGTTGTGAAGTTTTCCAGCAAACTAAGGTGGAACATGTAGCAAAACCTGGTTTGCTACAGCCCCTGCCTGTTCCTAATCAAGCCTGGGAATCATTACTATGGATTTCATTGAAGGATTGCCTACTTTCTTCAAGAAAACTGTATTTTGGTCATTGGATAAATTCACCAAATACAACCATTTCTGCCTCTATCTCATCCTTATTCAGCAGAGGTTGCTAAGCTCTACCTAGACAGTGTTTATAAACTACACGGCCAGCCTAAAATGGCCATTTCTGACAGAGATAAGACCTTTACTAGTTTGTTTGGAAAGAATGATGAAACAATTGGGTACAAGGACATTGTTCAGCACTGCTTATCATCCTGAAACGGATGGACAAACAGAGAGGGTCGTCAATCAGTGTTTAGAGCAATATTTAAGGGGCATTTGTTTTTATCAGCCTAGATATGGGCTAAATGGCTACCTCTGGCAGAGTGGTGGTACAACACACTTACCATACGAATTTAAAATTAACTCCTTTCCAGGCTTTATATGGTTACAAATCACCGTGTTTAGAGCAATATTTAAGGGGCATTTGTTTTTATCAGCCTAGATATTGGGCTAAATGGCTACCTCTGGCAGAGTGGTGGTACAACACCACTTACCATACGAATTTAAAATTAACTCCTTTCCAGGCTTTATATGGGTACAAATCACCTACTATGGTTTGGCCAACAGATACTACAGTTCAGTCAGTTAGTGAAATTATGACTGACAGGAAGCATATAAGGCAATTGGTCAAGCATCAATTAGAATTAGCCAGTAACAAAATGAAGTAGCAGGCTGATAAAATAGAACAAAAAGGGTTTTTCAAATTGGAGATTGGTGTACCTGAAATTGCAGCCTTATAGACAATCTTCGATTGCCCTGCGAAGAATCTTAAGTTAGCAGCCAAATATTTGGACCATACAAAATAATCGAAAAAATAGGTGAAGTAGCTTATCGACTGGATTTACCTGATTCTGCAAGACTCCACCCTGTATTTCATGTAAGTCTTCTGAAGAGATTCATCGGGGATTCATCAATGACTGCTACAGATCCTCCTGCCATAGACGAAGAAGGTCAGTTGCAAATAAAACCCTTGAAAACTGTGGGAAGACGTATCGTAAATAGAAATGGAAAACCAGTCACTCAACTTTTGGTTCGATGGCAAAACTTGGATGCATCGAATGATACTTGGGAAGATTATTCGTTTCTGCGTGGCCAGTTTCCTACGTTTGATCCTTGGGGACAAGGCTCGTCTCGTGGGGCGGGTATTGTTTTAGTTGGAGAAGAAGACGAAGAACGAAGGAATGAGCAGGATTTGGGAATGAAGAAAGGAGGTTAGGGATTTGGGAGAAAGAAGGGTTAGGGATTTGGAGAGTAAATTGGGGATTGAAATCAGAAAAGGAATTGAAGCACGAGGGGAGTTTGACTTATCTGATGAAGTGGAGGCGGGCCAAGGGAGTTTGGTGCGAGATGGAGTGGCCCAGTCAATGGCCCAATACCTGAACAGCAAAAGGAATCAGTTTGTTAAGCATTCAGTTATAGAGAATTGTCAGCTGGCATTACTAGATTTACCCGTACGAATTTGTAACTAAATAATACCTCTTGTAGAGCACATTTCCTTCTAGGATTTGAATGAATGAGAATTTCCTTTCTGTAAATACTTTTCTTCTTCTTCTACAACCTTTCTTCTTCGATAATTTCTTCTCTTTTATCCTCAATCTACAACATTCCCCCTGTTTGTATGAGTTTGAGGATTAAAATATGGACATGAATTTATCCGAGATTACCAGTGTGCTAATATGTGAAGATTAACTTCTATGACATAAATTTATCTGAAAATACCAATACATTTACTCATTTTGGTAGCCTTATTTAATTTCCCCCCATTTGTTGGCCTTGCAGTGTAACTCGTGCCCAGGCTGGAGCCTGTAGGGGATTGAATACCGCAAACATCATGGCTTCTGCAATCGAAGCCCTGGGAATGTCTCTTCCTTACAGTAGAACTATGCTCTCGAATCATTTTGATTGTGAAGTTGACATTCTGCCTTTTCCTTATTGTTTCTTTGTATCTGACAAGCTCTTCAATACCTGCTGAACACCCATGAAATTGGATGAATGTCGTTTGGCTGGAAAGTGTCTACTGAATTGTTGAAAATGGATTTAAAACCCCAAGATATCATCACCCCGCAAAACTTTAAATAATGCAATGGTTTGTTGTCAAGGCCCTAGGTGGATCAGCCGATTACGTGCAACATTTGATTACCATAGCAAGGTTAGAACTGAGTTTATGCCAGATATCCCTCAGGCCTTAAAATTATTGAAAATTTAGGGAAATGATCTTGGAATTGTTCATGCAGGTCTGTTGGTCTAGAATTGACGCTTGATGATTTCCAGGAGGTTAGTAATGAGGTCCCGTTTCTGGCTGATCTGAAGCCCAGTGGCAAATATGTCTTGGAGGATGTACACAAGGTATAAGATTAACTGCAGATCTTCTGCATCATTCTTATTTTTCAAGTTTATTTTTTCTTCCTGTGCTTAAGAACCATGACATCAGTAGCTTTCTCAGTATATGTTATCTATTCTATCATTTCAATAAATGGGAAAAATGTTTTGATAGATTGGAGGAACAACTGCTGTGATTCATCATCTTTTGGAGCTTGGATATCTTGATGGGGATTGCATGACTGGTATGTCGCTTGGATTCTACTTAGATTTCTATATTTATTGCAATTCTAGAGCTTTAATTTTCAATATTCTTAAATATTTGCTACGATGATTTTTCTACTGTAGTAACTGGGAAGACATTGGCAGAAAATGTTAAAAGCTACCCCCTTTTACCTGAAGGACAGGTAGTTACTGTTATTTTTTCCCACAGTTTTAACGGCATTTGTTTAAAAATGCGTAGCTGCACAGTTACTTGTCAAATGCTATGATTTGAACTATTTGTTGTCAGTTGGTACTGTTATTTTTTCCCCACAGTTTTAGCGGCATTTTTTTAAAAATGCGTAAGCTGCACAGTTTACTTGTCAATGCTATGAATTTGAACTCTTTATTGTAAGGTTGGCACTATTGTTTTTTCCCAAAATTTTAATGGCATTTGTTAAAAAAAATGGCGTAAGCTGCACAGTTTACTTGTCAAATGCTATGAATTTGAACTCTTTGTTGTAAGGTTGGCACTATTTTTTTTTCCCATAGTTTAATGACATTTTGTTTAGAAAATATGCGTAAGCTACACAGTTGTCAAATGATATGAATTTGAACTCATTGTTGCAAGGTTGGCACTATTGTTCTTCCCATGGTTTTAATGGCATTTTGTTTAGAAAATATGCGTAAGCTGCACAGTTTACTTGTCAAATGCTATGAATTTGAACTCATTGTTGTCAGGTTGGTACTGTTGTTTTTTCCCACAGTTTTAATGGCATCGTTTTTTTAAAAGCGTAAGCTGCACAGTTTACTTGTCAATGCTATGAATTGAACTCGTTGTTGTAAGATTGGTACTGTTGTTTTTTCCCACAGTTTTAATGGCATCGTTTTTTTTAAAATGCGTAAGCTGCACAGTTTACTTGTCAAATGCTATGAATTTGAACTCTTTGTTTTAAGGTTGGCACTATTATTTTTTCTCACAGTTTTAATGACATTTTGTTTAGAAAAAATGCGTAAGCTGCACTGTTCACTTGTCAAATGCTATGAATTTGAACTCAAAGTTGTAAGGTTGGTATTGTTGTTTTTTCCCACAGTTTTAATGGCATCGTTTTTTTTAAATGATTAAGCTGCACAGTTTATTTGTGAAATGCTATGAATTCGAACTCTTTGTTGTAAGTTTGGCACTATTGTTTTTCCCATAGTTTTAATGGCATTTTATTTAGAAAATATGCGTAAGCTGCACAGTTTACTTGTCAAATGCTATGAATTTGAACTCATTGTTGTAAGGTCGGTACTGTTGTTTTTTCCCACAGTTTTAATGGCATCGTATTTTTTAAAATGCGTAAGCTGCACAGTTTACTTGTCAAATGCTATGAATTTGAACACATTGTTGTAAGGATGGTACTGTTGTTTCTTCCCACAGTTTTAATAGCATCATTTTTTTAAAAATGCGTAAGCTGCACTGTTTACTTGTCAAATGCTATGAATTTGAACTCTGTTGGAAGGTTGGCACTATTATTTTTTTCCACAGTTTTAATGCATTTTGTTATAAAGAAATGCGTAAGCTGCACAGTTTACTTGTCAAATGCTATGAATTTGAACTCATTGTTGTAAGGTTAGTACTGTTGTTTTTTCCTACAGTTTTAATGGCATCATTTTTTTAAAAATGCGTACGCTGCACTGTTTACTTATCAAATGCTATGAATTTGAAGTCATTGTTGTAAGGTTGGCACTATTATTTTTTCTCACAGTTTTAATGGCATTTTGTTTAGAAAAAATGCCTAAGCTGCACAATTTACTTGTCAAATGCTATGAATTTGAACTCATTGTTGTAAGGTTGGTACTGTTGTTTTTTCCCACAGTTTTATGGCATTTTTTTTCAAATGCGTAAGCTGCATAGTTTACTTGTCAAATGCTTTTTCCCACAGTTTTAATGGCATCGTTTTTTTTTAAAATGCGTAAGCTGCACAGTTTACTTGTCAAATGCTATGAATTTGAACTCTTTGTTGTAAGGTTGGCACTATTATTTTTTCTCACAGTTTTAGCGGCATTTTGTTTAAAAAATTGCGTAAGCTGCACAGTTTACTTGTCAAATGCTATGAATTTGAACTCTTTGTTGCAAGGTTGGCACTATTGTTTTTTCCCAAAGTTTAATGGCATTTTGTTAGAAAAAATGGCGTAAGCTGCACAGTTTATTGTCAAATGCTATGAATTTGAACTCTTTGTTGTAAGGTTGGCACTATTGTTTTTTCCCACAGTTTTAATGGCATTTTGTTAAAAAAATGCGTAAGCTGCACAATTTACTTGTCAAATGCTATGAATTTGAACTCATTGTTGCAAGGTTGGCACTATTGTTCTTCCCATAGTTTTAATGGCATTTTGTTTAGAAAAATTGCGTAAGCTGCACAGTTTACTTGTCAAATGCTATGAATTTGAACTCATTGTTGTAAGGTTGGTAATGTTTTTTCCCACAGTTTTAATGGCATCGTTTTTTTCAATGCGTAAGCTGCACAGTTTACTTGTCAAATGCTATGAATTTGAACTCATTGTTGTAAAGTTGGTACTGTTGTTTTTCCCACAGTTTTAATTGCATCGTTTTTTTTTAAATGCGTAAGCTGCATAATTTACTTGTCAAATGCTATGAATTTGAACTCTTTGTTGTATGGTTGGCACTATTGTTTTTCCCACAGTTTTAATGGCATTTTGTTAAAAAAATGCGTAAGCTGCACAGTTTACTTGTCAAATGATATGAATTTGAACTCATTGTTGTCAGGTTGGCACTATTGTTCTTCCCACAGTTTTAATGGCATTTTGTTTAGAAAATATGCGTAAGCTGCACAGTTTACTTGTCAAATGCTATGAATTTGAACTCATTGTTGCAAGGTTGGCACTATTGTTCTTCCCATAGTTTTAATTGCATTTTGTTTAGAAAAAATGCGTAAGCTGCACAGTTACTTGTCAAATGCTATGAATTTGAACTCATTGTTGTAAGGTTGGTAGTGTTGTTTTATCCCACAGTTTTAATGGCATCGTTTTTTTTAAATGCGTAAGCTGCACAGTTTACTTGTCAAATGCTATGAATTTGAACTCATTGTTGTAAAGTTGGTACTGTTGTTTTTTCCCACAGTTTTAATTGCATCGTTTTTTTTAAATGCGTAAGCTGCACAATTTACTTGTCAAATGCTATGAATTTGAACTCTTTGTTGTAAGGTTGGCACTATTGTTTTTTCCCACAGTTTTAATGGCATTTTGTTAAAAAAAATGCGTAAGCTGCACAGTTTACTTGTCAAAAGCTATGAATTTGAACTCATTGTTGCAAGGTTGGGACTATTGTTCTTCCCATAGTTTTAATGGCATTTTTTTTATAAGAATTTCATGTCTCATTAAAAACATCCTTCTTGATTGAAGGTGCTTGTTGATAAGCTCCTTAATCAGCGAAGGAGGAAAAAAGTGCCTTAGGATATTATTGAACAAAACAATAATATACAAGATACAACCCTAAAAGTAAAGTAAACAGACAGGTCAACACAAGGCAACCTTGTGACCCATAAACATCAACATTTAATCAACCGATTCCTTCTTTAGCTAAGGCATCAGCCTCTAAGTTGGTTGTCCTGCTTACCCATCTAACCACACCATCGAACATATTAAGCCAGTAAACAATGTCTCTAACCAAATAAGCATAAACATGAGGACATAATTCAGCCCCCTTAACCCAATCCACTGCCATCTTTCTGTCACTTTCAATAATCAACCTGTCTTTGATCCTCGCTCGAAAATCAGCATAAATCATTAGCGCTTTTTGAATAGCTTTTAACTCCATAAATGTTGGAGGCCCCGGACCTGCAGTCTCCTTGAAAGACCTTAATGTAGTTCCAGAGGAATCTTTTAAAACTCCTCCTAAACCACTCTTCTTCCAATCCTTAGTCGTAGCTGCATCAATATTAATTTTCACAAAACCCATAGGAGGAGGATGTCACGGAATAGAAGACACAATCATATTAGAATGGGTGGAACAAACGTCCCCTAAGGAGGGGTCTGAAATGAGAGTCTTTAAGAATATACACCCCTTTATTCTTCGCTAGGAACCATGAAGCAAGCCTAAACCTTGCTAAGAAGAAGAATTCAACCTCATCCAACTTCCCTCCTTCAAAAACAATTGAGTTCCTCAATTTCCAAGTAGTCCAAATAACTACCCCTGGAATGAGAGACCAAATCGGAGAATTAGTCTTCAACGCATCCCAATTCAAGAGAAAACTTTTAGCATTATAATGAAAAACAGTTTGAATCTTCCAGAAGTTGAGAAATTTATTTCAAACAGCCCACACCACCGAACACGAGAAAAACAAATATGAAGGAGACTCTTCTTGCATCATGCAAATAGGGCATAACAGATTCTGAATTCCTTCTATTCCTCTTTTCACCAGTTCTGTTTTAACAGCTAACCTCCCTAGAACAACCTGCCACAAAAAGGACTCCACTTTTGGTGGCAGCTGACCACTCCAAACAATCTTACACCAGAAGTAGGCCTCATCCGAACCTAAAGAACCTGATGAGCATAGATTGACAGCAGATTTCACAGTGAACAACCCATCCCCAGACCCTTTCCAAATCATCCCATCCGAATTATCCAAATTTAGAGCAAAAGCCGAGATGATAGTCATCAAATTAGCCCACTGCTCTATCTCCCAGTCATTTAAATTCCTACGAAACTGCACATCCCAAATCCAGCCGAAAGAGCTATACTCCCCAAACTCAAATAATTTGCCTGTTTTGTTAATCGAAATGGAAAACAGTCTAGGGAAAATTAGTAGAAGTGGATAATCCAAAACCCAATTGTCCTGCCAGAATCGAATAAATTTACCATCTCCGACTAAAAAAGAATACAAACTTCTCAACTTTGAGCCGATAGGGCCATCTTTAAAGTGGTTATTAACCACTAATCTCCAAATCCAAGATACTCTGTTTGGAGTCTTACTATCAAACAATAACAAAGATGGGTCCAAATTATATTTAGAACAAATAAGATCCCTCCAGACAGACCCCCTTTCATTTGCAAACCTCCAAGCCCATTTTTCTAGAAGTGCTCTATTCATCAAATTTAGATTCAGCACACCCAAACCCCCCTCCATCTTTGGTCTGCATACATTCAGCCAGCTAACCCAATGGATCTTACTTTTTTCAGCACCCCCTCCCCATAGGAAATTTGACATCAGTGAATTCAGGGTTTTAAGAACCGAAACTGGTATCTTAAAAAGAGATAAATAGTAAATAGGAAGCGAACATAGTACCGACTTAAGCAAGACCAGTCTCCCTGCTAAAGAAAGAGAGGCAGCCTTCCATCCTGTTAATTTTTTGGAAAAATTACTGATTACAGGATTCCATATAGCAGCAGAATTCCTAGAATCCCCCAAAGTAAGCCCTAGATATTCAGAAGGAAAGCTTCCAACAGAACAACCAATAGTATTAGTCCACTCATTCACATCCTCATCATTCAAATTCACACCAAAAAGCTTGCATTTCCTCAAATTGAGCTGTAAACCCGAAATAACTTGGACTACACGAAACACCCTTTTTACATTTAGAATTTGCATTTTCGAAGCACCACTAAAGATAATGAGATCATCTGCAAACTGTAATTGAGAAAGATTAAAAGACCCCTCTCCCCTCCCAATAGCCAATCCAGAAAACAACCATTGTGAAACAGCCTTTAAAATCAGTAAATTAAGGAGTTCACCAATCAAATTAAATAGCAGAGGGGATAAAGGACATCCCTGCCTAAGACCCTTTGCCATAGGAATTTCCTCAGTAGGGACTCCATTAACCAGAACAGATACTGAAGCTGTTGAAACACATTTTTTGATCCAGCCTCTCCACCTTGAACCAAAACCCATTTTCTCCATAACTAAAAACAGAATATTCCAATCCACCAAATCATAAGCTTTCTTGAAATCAGCTTTGAAAACACAGCCTTTGAGTCCACTTTTCCTCAAAAAATCAATTCTTTCATTGGCAATTAACGAGCAATCTAATATTTGACGGCCTGGTATAAAAACGAATTGTGTGGGACTGATTAAATCTGAAATACAGCTCCTCAACCTCCTTGAAAGACACTTGGAGAGGATCTTATATAATCCACCAACTAAGCTAATAGGTCTAAAGTCATCAAGATCGCCACTATTAGAAACCTTAGGGATAAGAGTAATAAATGTATGATTAATACCGTGTTCCCACTCTTTTCCCAAATAGAAATTATTGAAAAATTTCATAACATCCCCCTTAAGCATATTCCAGAATCTTTTAAAAAATCCCATATTTAGACCGTCTGGCCCAGGAGCTTTATTCCCATTACAAGACTCAATAGACTCCCAAATTTCCTCCTCGGTAAATTCTTTCTCTAATCTCAAACTCTGTTCGAGTGTAATACTAGAAAAATCCAGCCCAATGTCTTCCACTTGAAGAGTAAACTGATCATTGAAAGCCTTGAAAAAATGATCTCTAACTGTTGATTTAATAACATTCGGGTCATGAACAAAATTGCCATTGACAAGAATAGCATTCAATGCATTTCTTTTCCTCCTAACTGAAGCACATGTATGAAAATATCTTGTGTTTCTGTCGCCATCTTCTACCCACTTCGATCTTGAGTTCTGGAACCAAATCTGCTCCTCTATCTTATACAGCCTCCATAGTTCTGCTCTTGATCTCTTCAACTCAAGTGCTATCTCAGAATTGTAATCAATTAGACCCTGATGAATATCCACCTCTAGCTTTTGAATTTTCGATTCAAGATCAGAAATCAAATCCCCTGGAAACTTGTCTCTCCTCCCTACCCAATTTTTTATTGCCATTTTGGTATTCTTCAGTATGCTGAAAATTCCAGCATTCCTCTGGTTTTTCTTACAATCTCGAATTGATAAGCTGACCACATCCTCGAATCCGACTTCATCCATCAGATAATTAAAAAGTTTAAAAGGTTTCTTTCCCCAATTATCCCCACCATTTTCAATAATTACTGCATTATGGTCAGACACAGACCTGGGCAAAAGAGATTGAGTTAAATCTGGAAATTCGGCTAAGAACTGGCTATCAACCAAAAATCTGTCCAGTCTAACATAGGTTGGTGAATCTTGGTTATTACACCAAGTATATCGACCCCCACTCAATTGCAGATCAATTAAACCTGTGTTCAGCAAAAAATGACTAAAAATCTCTACTGAATTCCTATTTTGGGCCCTACCCATCTTCTCGTCCTCATGAAGATAAACATTTAGGTCCCCTCCAACACAAATATGATCACTGTAACCTCCAATGAACATGCCTAATTCTTCAAAGAAGCCTCCTTTCTCCTCCTCAAAAGAAGGACCATATACATTGATGAACCTACATCTGAAATTATTTGCACGAAACCTCCCAGAAATAGCTATGAATCTACTGGAAACAAATTGATTATCCAACACAAAAATATTGTCATTCCAGCAACTTAGTAAACCCCCTGAAGCACCAACCGAAGGAGACTCAATACATCCTTGCAAGTTGTTTAAACCACACCTTCTAGAAATAGATTTTTGAATTTTCTCCAATTTAGTTTCCTGTAACCACAAAAAATGAGGGTAGTGATGATACAGTAATCTCTGCACAACCCTTTGCTTCTCTTTTCTACCCAACCCTCTGACATTCCAAGTCACAATAGATAACTTTAACATCATCATATAAAAAAGGAAAAACCTCCCTTGATCTTCGCCGAGAAATCAACCTTCCCTGAGAAGTCAATCATTCCTAACAGTCTCCGAGCCATTATCAAGACTAATAATTTTTTCAATGAAAGTCTTCTTCCCTTCCTTGAAGGAAATACCTAGCAACTGACAGACTTCCCAAGTTGCCATGGCTTCCTCCACCAATTTCGAAAATTGAGGGGAAAAGACAGTTAACATATTAACCAGGTCCACAGCTTCCCTTGTTAAAATTCTTTTTTCCCTCCTGAAATTCCTGCAAATCTGTGAAGCAGAAAGTAGGGTTGATGTCCGATCCTCAAAATGATTATTACAAAATAATGGAACCAACGCTGTATTCTGCTTAATAACAGAACAAGAGACATCAACATCCTGTTCAGATCCCCTGTTTTCGGAAGAAACCGGTTGAATAAAACCTTCAGGAGCATTTTGATCTTTATTCATAAAAACCTGACAGCCACTTTTAGAATCCTCCTTCCTCGAGCTTAGCCAAATTCTTCTACCTCTTGATCTTCTGTAGACTCTTGAAAAGCGACCGCTGCTCCTCTTCCCACCAATATTTTTAATTGATAAACCAGCTGAAACTGGAAAACCCAGTTTCCAACGATTCTGACTCTTCTTAATTTCTGCACAACCATTGTGAATTACTGAACTTCTTCCCCTCTCACAAGAAGATGAAGCGCTACACTATTGTTTTTTCCCACAGTTTTAATGGCATTTTGTTTAGAAAAATTGCATAAGCTGCACAGTTTACTTGTCAAATGCTATGAATTTGAACTCATTGTTGTAAGGTTGGTACTGTTGTTTTTTCCCACAGTTTTAATGGCATCGTTTTTTTAAATGCGTAAGCTGCACAGTTTACTTGTCAAATGCTATGAATTTGAACTCATTGTTGTAAAGTTGGTACTGTTGTTTTTTCCCACAGTTTTAATTGCATCGTTTTTTTTAAATGCGTAAGCTGCACAATTTACTTGTCAAATGCTATGAATTTGAACTCTTTGTTGTATGGTTGGCACTATTGTTTTTTCCCACAGTTTTAATGGCATTTTGTTAAAAAAAATGCGTAAGCTGCACAGTTTACTTGTCAAATGATATGAATTTGAACTCATTGTTGTCAGGTTGGCACTATTGTTCTTCCCACAGTTTTAATGGCATTTTGTTTAGAAAATATGCGTAAGCTGCACAGTTTACTTGTCAAATGCTATGAATTTGAACTCATTGTTGCAAGGTTGGCACTATTGTTCTTCCCATAGTTTTAATGGCATTTTGTTTAGAAAAATTGCGTAAGCTGCACGGTTTACTTGTCAAATGCTATGAATTTGAACTCATTGTTGTAAGGTTGGTACTGTTGTTTTTTCCCACAGTTTTAATGGCATCTTTTTTTTAAATGCTTAAGCTGCACAGTTTACTTGTCAAATTCTATGAATTTGAACTCATTGTTGTAAGGTTGGTACTGTTGTTTTTTCCCACAGTTTTAATGGCATCGTTTTTTTTAAAATGCGTAAGCTGCACAGTTTACTTGTCAAATGCTATGAATTTGAACTCTTTGTTTTAAGGTTGGCACTATTATTTTTTCTCACAGTTTTAATGACATTTTGTTTAGAAAAAATGCGTAAGCTGCACTGTTCACTTGTCAAATGCTATGAATTTGAACTCAAAGTTGTAAGGTTGGTATTGTTGTTTTTTTCCCACAGTTTTAATGGCATCGTTTTTTTTTAAATGATTAAGCTGCACAGTTTACTTGTGAAATGCTATGAATTCGAACTCTTTGTTGTAAGTTTGGCACTATTGTTTTTCCCATAGTTTTAATGGCATTTTGTTTAGAAAATATGCGTAAGCTGCACAGTTTACTTGTCAAATGCTATGAATTTGAACTCTTTGTTGTAAAGTTGGCACTATTGTTTTTAAAAAAATGCGTAAGCTCCACAGTTTACTTGTTAACGGCTGAGGGTTTTTAATTCTCATATCTTCTATGTTCTTTAGCGTGATCTTTATTTGTGTACCTTTAAGTCCAGAATGTGTGTTTGAATGTGTATTCCTTGTATGTCTATCTGCATTTTCTAAAGTCTGAGCTCGTAAATTTCCAGGGAAATGTTCATATTGTTATGTTGACACGAGCAATTGAAATAATGAGAGCAGTTCATAGCAAGGTACTGTGATTTCAAATTGATGGGCACTTAAATGTGCATATTTAAGAAGGTTTTAAAACTACCATTTTACATTTAGAATGTCATTAATTCCCCAACTAAAGCACATCTACATTCGTAGGCAATTCTAGTGGTGTATCATGCGGCGAAGTTCATGCCGATGTGGGCAGCGAGTTCATGCCGATGTTGGCAGCGAAGTTCATGCTGAAGTTGGCAGCGAAGTTCATGCTGAAGTTGGCAGCGAAGTTGGTGGTGTGGAATCTGGTCGCTGAGTTTGTCAGAAAGCAACTAACAGATTCCTTGGCACGGTTGACAATAGATTCCATGGCACCGTTAGCGATAAAGTCAACGATGATGTCAATGACTGTGGTGACATTTTTCGTGGCACCGTTAGCGGCAGTTTTGGTGGACAGGTTTGCCGCAGGTTTGGTGGACCGGTTTGTGACAAAGTTGGTGGCAAAGATGGCCAGAGAATTAGTGGCACCCAGGTTAGTGACTAAGTTAGCCACTAATTTTGTGGCGCCGGCGTATCTGGTGGAATGGTTGGTGGCGTATTTGATGGAATTGTTGATGGTGAAATTGCTGAAAAATCGGGTCGAATTCAATGACGATCTATATCATCCTTTCCTGCATTTACTCCTCAACTGCTCTCTTGACTTGTGCTTTTGTTTTTGGTATTTGCTTATTGGATGCGAGACATCGTGCCCCGTTGGTGGCATTCGGCTCCCTTAGCGGCTTATCGGGTCTCACTAAAGCCCCTGCTTACCGAAGCTCAATTATTCTAAACAGCGGGAAGAGGAATTCAAAGACATTGCAATGCATAAATGACAATTTAAGAGGACAAGTGTAGTACCATTTCTTTGAACTATATTTCTCAACTCTTTTGTGGGTTTCGAAACAGGTTCGTAATTGTACCAGCATAAGCTATTTCATGGAAGAGTCCCGGGGATGTCGGACGAGTGTCTCGGATGTCGGAAGATGTACGCGTGGGAACCGGCGGAACACGTGACCTAAGTGGAATCGTATATCTTAGAAAATAAAGGACATATTATGAACAAGTGTAGTACCATTTGAACCAGGAATGCATGCAAGTGCCTCAATGAGGAACAATGAATTATTTCAAGTGCATCACCACATCATCGCTTCCTTTAGAAACCTCTCACAGTTTATTATCTGAAAAAAAATGTTTTCGACGTCAATCGGATGAATTATTAAATTTAATAATTATTTTTATAATTAATCAATTAATTATAAGCTCATATTATGCTACTTTCTTATTATTTATCAATAATTCTTTTAAATCAAATAATATTTTTAATATTATAAAGTCTATCCTATTTTCTTAATATTAATCGATTATTTTCTTTATGATGATAATAATTTTAGTATGGTAAACTATTGGATTAATCACTTTCTTTTCATATATATATATATATATATACATTTTTGCTTATTAAATTTAAAAAGTGATGTTTTGATCACTTATATTATTGGCTTATTAAATTTTAGTCACTTTATTAATTGGTACATTTTAGTCATTGAGCCGTTTACTATTGTTAGTTTGATGACGTGGTGTGTTAGTTAAAAGGAGTTATTTTTTATGTGTCTCCTGAGCTTTAAAGAGAATATTAATTGCCTCCGAACTTTTGATGAACTATCATTTTACCTATTAACTTTAGATAAAATACCAATTTGACATATGAATTTAATCAAAGCCTTTCGTAGTCAACTATCGATAGTCAACGTCAGTCATTGTTTTTGTTGATTGTTGGACTTCAAAATTTCTAGTTCATTCATTTTGACGGCTTCAACACAAACCCAATACCTGTTTCATAAAAATATCTCAAACATTTGACCTATGAATTTAACTAAAGCCTTCTGTTGTCTTCAGCTATCGTCAGTCAACATCAGTCATTGTTTTCGTTGATTGTTAGACTTCAAAATTTTTAGTTCATTCATTTTGACGGCTTGAACACAAATCCAACATCCGTTTCATAAAAAATATCCCAAACACAATAACTTTAGCCTATAACCCTTCAACTTCCTTTAAACTTAAACCATAAATCCTAATAAAACAAATCCTCCATTGTGGTTTAACATGAGCCAATACCAATTTCTCATTATTAATTGGAGAAACCCTAAATTCTAATTAAACAAACACCAAACACATGGATATTAAAAGAGAAAATCTATTTTCGAAATACTTTAGTGGTCAAATAGAGAATCCTAACAATGAAAAAGTGATCATCAAAGACAACAATATATCTCAAAATCATGATAATCTGACAATCAGACGTTGAAATCGATGGAGGACGAGGGTGAAAGTTTGGGAAAAGTTTTGTGGCTTTTGTGAAGTTTCAGTGATAAACTAAATCAACATACCTTTTAGAGTAAAAAAGATGGGTCAAACAACATTATTATTGGCTGAAAGTGATTTCGAATGGTAACAGTTTGTTAACTTGTAGTTTCTGAATGCTAAATTTTGTGAAGTTTCAATTGTTTTGTGATTAAATGATCACCAGAGTTGCATTCGAGAGGAAGAAACATGCCACACCCCAAAATTCTTGGATTAATGTGGTAATTTTTAAATTTTTCATTAGAGGGACCAACATATTAGATTTTGGAAATTAAGATCTATTTTGCGAGCTTCTGATTAGGTCAGGGGCTTGGACCATGATTGTTCCATTAATCTTTGGCTTTGAATATAAAAGGGTGTGCAGTTTGTGAGGAATGAATTGTGGTCTCCTGAACAATCTGTCTAACCCTCGAATTCGTTCCGAACAGCTTACCTGTGAAAACCAAAATTTGCAGACTTTCTTCGTCCCCAAACCTGACCCTTCCATCGTTCTTCAGCCTCTAGTCAGTAGTGACCGTCACCGCCAATACCAACGGCTTCTTCACCACCAATACCAACGGCTTCTTCATCATCGTACGACCCCAAACCCAACCGCCTTTCACCCAAGCCAGTTGCCGTTTGTCGCAAGTCAATGAAAAACCGTTCGATGGCCCGTTGTTGATCTCCGCCTTCGTTGAACGGTGATCGTTATAGTCGGTATCGGTGTGAACGCCAGGCCACCGCAATCAAAACCCTGGTGGCCGATTGTCGAGGCTCTTCATCGTTTGTCGTGGAGAAACATTTGAAGCTTTGTCAGAGAACTAAGATACTACTTCGGTTTTAATGATTTATCTCATGAAATCCAAAACAAATTATAAAAATCAAAATAAAATTGAAAAATCAAAATTAAAAAAAATATATTTTTTAAAATATAAAATATTTTTTAAAAAATACATAAAATGTATAAAAAAAACCATATATTCATTTTGGCTTAATTATAAAATAAGTGTCCTTTTCACAAATAGATGTCCAAACTTTTTTTTAACGATCCATGTGCGAATGTTACAAACATTGCAACTTTAGGAGTCTGAGCCATAAATGCCATTAATTTTCTCCGTTAAGTGATACATGTCAAATTTGGTAATTTTAAAATTTTTATTTAAAATCTAAAAATTAAAGCTATATATATTTTTGAAAAAACACAAAATTTGAAATAGCTCTAGAACTTTGAAAACCTTTATGTCAACCCTTAAACCTATATCGACCGTCGCCCTTTGCCATCGATGAAGTTCCACCCAACCTCACTTCCCTCGACAATCAATAACCGTACGAAATCACGACCAATCGATGGTCAATGAACGTTTTGTACCCTCTCGAGCCTTAGGTTGAAAATCGTGATCCCACACGATCCTGACAATCAATCGACGACAGTTATAGCGGCATATGACAGGAAAATGTTAGACTACATTGGCGGCGGTGTTCATGGCCGACAATGACGACGAAGGCATGTAAGAGATTTAGGGTTTTGAGTTTTTTTGTAATTTAATAAACATTAGTTTTTTTTAATAAATATAACATTTTCTTTAAATTTTTAATTTCAAAATTAATAGAATGTGACACGTGTCACTTAAAAGAGAAAATTAATGGTATTTATAGCTCGAACACTTAAAATGGTAAGTTTGTAGCATTAGACATTCTCAAAAAAAAAATTTAAACGACTATTTATAAAAAGTTGTATAATTTGGACACATATTTTCTAATTAAGCCTTCATTTTTTAATATAAACTAATAAACCCTATTGCTTTCTATTAATAGTCTCTCACATTGTGGCATTAGATGAAACCTAAGGTTTTGTTACTCTAGAGACTCTTGGGAGCCGCCAGAAATATCCCCGTTGGCTCGCCGACATTGGAGTTTCTTGAAGAGAAAATCTGAACGGTGATAGATTCTAAGTGCATACCTGCATTTGTTGAAGCTGTCGGAGGGAGTGAAACGGTTCGTTGAGGAGATCGGGAAGGCTGGGTTTAGATTCAGTACGGTCGGGGTTAGCAATGGGGATACAGTGCAGTCGAGGGTTTTGGACGCCGATAGCATTGAAACTATGTGAGCTTTATTATTCAAACTTTACTCTTTAATTGCTAATATGCTTATTGATTATAATTGTGAGAAAATGTAGGGAAGAGAAGACCAGGGATTCATCTGCTGCATTTCTCTCACTTTTGGCTTGAATGGCAGAACCTAATCAAGGTGATCAATTGATTCATTAGGGTTATAAACTGTTTTTGCTATGAATGGAGGTTTGGATTGCATGGAACTTGTATGATCCTTTAGTAGAGTCATTGCTTAGAATTTCTTACTCTTTAGGGAAGAGGTAGAGCTCAAATCTATCTGCAATCTTTTGTTTAGGGAAGAGGTGGAGCTCAAATCTTTTGTTTGGGGAGGCTCAATTCAAATCTAACTTGCATGATTTGATGTTAGGGGACGAACTTGAATTTTTAAAATTTCGGGGCGAAAATAGATTTTCAATAAAAAATATATTTTAAAAAATCTAAAATATATATTGATTTTAAACCCAAATATCTATTGAACACAAATATGGTTATATTTTTCTAAGTTACTTCATATATTTCACACAATCATCATAGAAAGTAAGTAGTCTGAATGGTTAATCCAATTCTAGCTGATGATAGTGTTGGCCAATATCAATGGCATTTTTTTTATTTTCATATTGGCATTTTGCAGCCTATCATTTTCCAGGCAATACGACAGAGTATCTGCCATCCAGGCCGTAGGGATGACGTTATTGCTGGTTTATTACTTATTTGGACTCAAGTATGCATATGGGTTTGACATGTCAAATGAGTCAAACTATAAGAAAAAAAACCAGAGTATAAGAGACAAAAGACACTTAGTTTTAAGGGTAAATTACGGTTTTAGTACTTAAACTATTAGTTTTGATTTGTTTTAATACTTTAACTCTCAATTTTTTTTTCAAAACCATACATAAAGTTTAGTTTTTTTCTTCTCATTTTAGTATATGTTCAAAATTTAATGTCACTTTTTGGAATAAAATTAAAAGTTTAGGTATTAAAACGGACCAAAACTGATAGTTTAGGTATTAAACGTGTTAAGTTTTTAACGGCGGATACTAAAATGAAACAAAAATTAAACGTTAGGTATGATTTTGAAAAAATTAAAACTTTAAGTACTAAAACAGACTAAAACTAATAGTTTAAGTACTAAATGCATAGTTTACCCTAGTTTTAAATATAAAAAATATAAAAAATTATTGCTAGGAATATTTTGGGCCTTCTAATGGAGACTTTATTATTATTATTTTTATATTTCGAGACATATAAAGTTCATTCTATGTTCATTCTTTGACTTTAGGCTTGATTTTTATTTGGAGATAAAAATATAGAGTCCGAGTGATATGGGTTTTATTCACATTCCTTGTGTTTCTATTTGCATTGACTGAATATTTGGTTATGCTGCTGCCACATTTTCAGGGGAAAGTAGCTTTCATTAGAGGAGGGCCTAGCAAGTGCAATAATGGATTTGAGAAGGTATTGAGATTTAAAACAGATGAGTGCTTGAAAAAAGTAGTTCAAGTTGATAAGATTAGTGGTAAATTTAGTAGGCAGCTGTTAGTCGAATTTGGTGGCAAAGTTAGTGACGAATTTGATGATAAAGAACGATATTTATAAACTTTGTTATTTACTTTGTCACTAACTTTGTC